GGCATCTGGACCTGCAGATTTAAAAATGTCTAGCCCTTCCCTAACTACATCTGCACTGACTGAAGGCTTGATAGAGCTATCCCCAAGATTGTCCCTACCTTTGGTAGGTGGGATATCCTGGTCGCTGTTCAGGAAAACAGAGATAAAGAAACTGTTAAATATACCAGGCTGGTTGTACACCTCCCTTTTAGTCCTCAGGCATTCCTGAATGCCCTTGCTGAGCCAAAGGGGTTTCTGACCACTCTTACCCCCCTTGCTTCTCTCAGGGACTGTTATCCTTTGGGCCTGGAGGATTGCCCCCTTAAGGTACGACCATCCCTCATGGGCTCGCATCTCCTCTACTTTCTGGGTCCTTAGTGCCTCCCCCACTAGTCTCCTAAGCTCATTGAAGTTGGCCCTTCTGAAGACAAGGGCTTTAGCCTTGGTGTGAGCCCTAGATACCCTGCGTTGGATAGTGAAATCCAGCAGGTGATGATCGCTATTGCCCAGGTGGTCAAGGACCTGCAGTCCCCTCACCAGGTCATCCCCCATGATCAGGACCAGGTCCAGCAAGGCCTTACCCCTAGTGGGGCTGTGCACTTCCCGGATAAGGTGAAGGTCCTATAATACAGCCAGGAACCTACGCGAGCGGTCAGACCTGGCTGTCTGCTCCTCCCAGCAAATGTCTGGGTAGTTTAGGTCACCCATGACAATAACATCCCTTGACCTAACTGCCTCCATAAGCTGACTGGAGAAGTCCTGGTCCAGCTCTTCCCCTTGGTTGGGTCGTCTGTAGTAGACACCCACCATAAGGTCCCTTTCGCCACGTCCCCCTTGTAGTTTGACCCATAGTGTCTCTGCCCGACCCTCCTCTAACCCGAAGCTAATCCTTGATGATGTGAGGTGCTCTTTGACACGTATAACCAATTTAATAGTATAGCAGTGATTATTTTTTTTAATGTAAAGTAACTTTAAAAAGAATATAATTGCTTTGATTTTGGTGTTTTTGCTGCCTCCACCCCTCTCCTCTGCCCCCCACTCCAACTAAACATGATGTCTTGACTGTTTATTGATCAAAGAAGACTACTACAACAAATGCTACTCTCATTTTCATAATCCAAGAAAAGATCGTTCGTTAATTTAGTCAGAGAGGCATACAAAGTTTTATTGTATTCGGTCATTCAGTTATGAGCAAACTAATTTGAATGGATTTGTTACTCAGTCTGAACAGGTTATACATAAATTTGAATAAGGATAACTGGCTACTCCAATCAGAAAGAAATTATGGAGCTGTGATACAGACATACATTTAATTTTTTAATTTTGTTTTTCATTTTAATATTAGTTTATCGACTGGATTCTTAATATAATGGAAAGTCCTAAAGAAGCACTATCGGATTCTTCCGGAGACCTATTAAAAGGTACTGTATATATAGGTCTTTATTTATACACGTCTTTCAACATGGGGGGGAAGTCAATAGCTTTATTAAAGACACGTTATGTAGCTAAACTGTACACGTGTTTATGGGAAAACTACATATTGGCTCTAAAATAATCTCTGCAGGCAAAGAAGTATTCTTCTCTCTTAAAATCCTTTTTAGATTATTTGATTCTTAATTTTATCTCTGACACCCATCATGCTACTGAAAATTCAAAAACCATCAATGTGCGGATAAGATTACAAATGTATATCAGCTATTTGATGCATGTTACATTTAAAGAGTTAACATTAAAAATACAACACAGCAGTGGGAGCATCTACACATTTAATTAACGCACTTTAAGTAATGCGCATTAAATCTAGTACCTCTGGGCATTTTTACACATGCAAGCACCACAGCACTGTGCACTTTGAAAAGCACCTGGTGCTGTGGCACTTGTGGTTTTATAAGCAGCGAAATGCGTATAAGCGCTGAGAAATAGCAGTGGCATGCTTTTGAACTAAAACACATCGGAGGTTCTCTAATTGAGAAGCTCACCACCACCATTTTCTGTGCGCTGATGTGCATTTCACCATGTATACAACTGCACGTGGTGCAGCGCTATTCGCCTCAGCTTGCATTCAGAGCAATCGATTAATCGATTCTGCTCCAAAGCGGCAGATCTCCAGCTTGTTGCAGGACAAAAAAGTATGTGTATAAATGCCCTGTGTCAGGAAATACTAGAAGAATGTGCATTAGCCTGTTTTAATGTGCATTAGCTAAAGAACATGGGTTTTGTGTGATGCTTTAGTGCACATAAAATAGGCTAATGTAAATTAAAGTACACATGTAGATGCGCCCAAGTGTGTAGTTTAAAATCCCGCAAGCGTTAGACTAGAATACGCTGACCACTGTTTGCGCCAAGGTCAATGTTCCAATCAGTTAATTTGAGCTTTCAGCTTTCTTGGTGAATTCAAAACCACTTAACCCTGAGGATACTGGCTTATACTCAAATGAAATCACTTAAATTAGGCATTTTTCTGGAGCACTTCTATTACAGTATTCCATAGATGCTTTAACAGGGATAAAGCCAAGCCTGTAGTGTCTATGAACAAGTTGGGTTTTGTGAGGAACAAATTATAACAGGCCTACTTTATCTTGGAAGAAGCTACATATGCTTTCTTAATCTTTTCATCTTGTCTCATACATCCTGTCTTCTCTCAGCTCAGTCTGTAGCAGTTGCACGTCAGCATTTCAAAAATGCCCACACAATGCTTCATCATTTTTAATCTCTGAAAGTAAATCAAGATTAGGAACATCAGAAGCAATGCAGAATTGTGCTGGGGAACTTCTTGTACTGAATGCTTGGTATACCTTGATCAAGATAAAACTGCTAGTCAAATTTCGTTTGGGTGTCATTTTACCCAGACACTAAGTTCATACAAAAAGAAAAGAAAAAAAAGATGATCTGCCTAGTAATTGTGGATTATTCCTCAAAGGGTGAATCCTTCAAAAACTATTAACAAGCCAGTAAATGTCACTGAGGAAGCGAAGGCTCATATTCTATATTTGCCTAAAGACTCTAATCTCCCCCCTCCCCCATCACAAGGCATTTGGATTTGCTTACAGATCACTCTGCATTGCATTCAGACTTTCTCCCCTTCAATTGCTAGTTCCCTTGTTCTGTTTGCTAACCACTGCCCCTTCACCTCCCTTGTGGTGTTCTCTCAAACCTCAGGATGCTTTAGTGTTAGCTGACCCAGCTCTTACCTGCCAGTGTTAAACCGGAAACTCAGGTAATCTGGTAGTGGCTTGTGTGGGAGTACATGCTTAGGATTTATGCTGAGAAAGGTTTCAGTTACCAGGCAGGTAGGACAGATAAATACTTGGTCCAGGTTACGGTCCAATTCAAGCCCATTTCTCAAATGTTGGCTTTCTGATACTTAGAATCCCTGGTGAGAACGCTAAGCATTACCCCTGAACTAGCACCTGAAAAGAACCAGTGAAAAGAATATATGACCAGATAAAATTGACACGGATGTGATTTTAAGTCATGAGTACTATCTCATCTCTTTATAATCATGTGATTCATCTTTGTTTTCCCAGCTGCACTTCTGGCTTTGAGGTTTTTTCCAGAATTCAAAAAGAAAGCAGTGTGGACTAAGGCTTATGGTTGGTAGCCACAACAAAGCAACCTCATCTTATCTGATGAAGAGGATCATTAATACTGAGAGCATTCTGAGAAGTATTGAAACATCAAAAAAACTAATTCCAAAGAGGTTTCCTACCATGAAGTTTTATGGATTCCCTTTCCACCCCAGCTTGAGACAAGAGAAGAATCATTTCATTTTGTGTGTCAGTAGACCAGCTTCTGCTATGCACTGTCTTGCATTGGCTTGGGGATCCATTCAGGACTGTAGATTGCATTTGAATTATAATCTTGAATTTTGAAGGTGCTTTAAATGACATAATGAAAGCTGTAGAAGACAGCATCTCTCTGTAATGAGTGGAAAATGTGTATGAACAGTTGCAAAAATTAAAAACAAATATTGCAAAGTTGTGGGCATTTTGAATGCTGCATTCATCGCATATACACTCCCCCTAAATAAAACATGCACATTGTTTTTTGGAAGGCAGAAT